ATGGAGGACAGTGGAGCCCAAACCCATCTGCAGAGTGTCTGGTCAGATTAGGCCTCTGGCAGATCCCCTCTGGCCACAGACAAGGGTCTCAAACAGCTTTACTGTCAGAGAGAGATCATTATAATCTTAATTATGCTGGATCGAACTTGATACTTGGTCAGTTGACCTCCCTCTTGACACAACCTGAATTTGTTCTGGGTGCAAATATTTCTTACTTGTTCCATGACAAAACTTTCTTCCCTGGCTTTCAAATTATTGATGGTGGTCTTTTCTTGCTTACTCATTATTGGTATTTTTCTCTTTATATTGTTATTTCATCCTTACCACTTAAAACAGGGGAACAAAGCCTTGACAGTTGATCTGTGCTCTGATGCATGTTAGGCCTGATCTGGTTTTCAACATTCTCTGTCCTTTTCATTTTTTGTTTCTATTTATACTGGTGTTTATTTAGATGTGTTATGTGGTTGGGAGTTGCCCTCTGGAGTTTTTGCTATATGTTCTCAGTCTATGAAGCCCAGGACTGATGAACCTATAGGGACAGCAAGTAGAATACGGGTTTGGGGGTGGGGGTGGGGAGTGGGGAAGAGTGTAAACGGGAACTGATATTAAGGAGTTCAAGGAGGGAAAGAATGTCTTGAAACTGATTGTGGTAGCAATTGTACAACACTGCTTGATGTGATTGAACTATGGAATGATAATGATGGCTGTATTAACTCCCAATTAAATGATTTTGAAAAAAATTTTTTTTTAATATATAAAACAGTATTCTGGCAAAACTCTCTCTCTGGACCCTGCAATCTTCTCCTCATCTGACCTCTGGCCCTTGGCCAGAGACAGCAGAGCCCTCCGACCTTTGCTTGGTGTCTTCTTCAACCCGAGACCACACGAGTCAGCAGAGGTCTTCAGCCTCTCCTCTGACCCACGGAGCTGAGACTTGCTGATCACCGCAGTTGTGTAAGCCATTTCCTCACAACTGCACGAGCTGTTTCCTGAAAGTAAATTCTACTCTCTATGCAGTAAAATCCACACAAGCTGCAGCCCATGTAAGCAAAAACCTGTCAGAATGAAAGCCCTAAGATTTCCAAAACATGAGCAATAGAAAAATGGTAGGACTGCATCCGTCAAAGATAGAAAACTTGGGAGACCTGGAAAAACAAGACAGCCCCATCAAGTTCTGGCTCTCACAGTTTTCACTGTGTAGCTAGATATGCTCCTGTTGTTTTGCCTCAATAAGGAGCCCAGACTAACACACACCTCTTTGCCAAGCCACCCGTGCAAAAGCCCCAAAGCATGCGCATGCCCTCGAGCATGTGCAGGCATTCCCCCCACTCCACCCACCCACTCACACTTCCTTGATGTTCCCACCAAGAGAACTTGGGAACAGCAACATCCCAGAAGCAACGGACACCCTCGGGCCCAAATCTTGGTCTCTACATACCGTTCTCCACTAACAAAATGTAGGGATCTCTGGAGAAACGGACTGAAATGAAGAAGGAACAGGATGGACTGGATCATCTGGTGGTGAGAAGGAGTGCTCAAGGAATGACGAGAACATGCCCGAAGGAGACAGGGAGGGCTTGAAGGTGGCGTCAAGTCACCAAAGCTGACCACGCAATGCTGTAGCAGGCCGCACCCAGCGGACAAAGTGCGGACCATACATCGATACCCAATACCCACGTGAATTAAGGACTAACTGGGGAGAAGAGAAAAAGGTTCCTTATAGTGAATGACAGTACACTTACTGGAATTATTTGTTTCAGTACCATTATTGAGACAACTATTTGGCAGCTTTTGTAATAGTAATTCATTCTGGTAAAAAATAAAATGATTGCATGAAAGTTTGAAGAGGAACAGGATGGATATCACAGTACTTCCTGGTGCTGGTGCTGGTGGTGGTGGTGGTGGTGCTGGTGGTGAGGTGCCATGGAGTTGTTTCCAATTGACAGCAACCCGCGGCACAATAGAACGAAACCCTGCCCGGCCCTGCACCCTGACTTACATCCAGTGTATAAGAGAATGTTGTCCC